AGTTCAAAGGTGAAAAAATTATTTGTTTGCTGGGCGTATGGACTTCCTGGAATCATTTTCTTCATTGTGAGGAAGGAAATAAGCGGAGACTCCAAAAAAGCAAATAACCACATTTCCAAAAATGTTGAATGTTTTCTTTAATTTTTTGAATAACACGTTTTCACTCAAATTTAACAAAGTAATTACATATTATCACCTTATTAAGTTGTTGTGGTAGGCCTATATTAGCAAACAGTTGCCTATTTACCCATCCAGTAGACACAGACTAAAATTAGCATTCATTTAGAGTCACAATTCTGGCCACCTTGTGGATGCAAGTCCAATATTCACTTTCCTCTTTAAGCTTCGATTTTGTTTCCACCAACCACTGAGAAAAACATCTGCCTCTTTAGCTGTGAAATCTACTACGATGTCTACCTAGTAGCTAACTTTGTCTTGTCTGTTTGCTGCTGGACAGATTTATTAGAGCTTTTTAACTGAAAACTGACTGCTTTTTGCTACTGCTAAGAACAAGGGGGATGAGAATGACCCAAAACAGTTCAGTTGTGGGCCATAAAACCAAAACAATGAACTGAAAGACACTAAAATGCTCCATGGAGCTGATGGGACCTGCAAAGTTTGGTAATAATTATTTGTGGGTTTGTCATTATGTGTGACTCCTTTCACATTACACGTTATTTGATCCATTGTTAATATAAAAATATTGATTAGTGCAGCTTTAAACAAATTCTTATTACACAAATGTTACTGAAATGGTGAACTCCTTATATAATTTCATTATACTCTCATATGTCTCTCGTCTTCGCATTGCAGAAAACAGGCATAGAGCACTTAGTTGATAATGACAGTGCCTTAAATAAACCTGGTTGTTATTTGGGAAGGAGCATTCATATGGGTGGTTGTTGACTATTCTGTGCATGTTTATTTACGGTAGATGGGTTTTTGCTGACATAATGCTGATATAATGCTCTGGCCACACTGAGAGGCTGAGAGCTCTAGTCTGAGATTCAGTGTCTTGACTTTTCCCTCTAGGGGGACAAGAAATGACACAAGATGAGATGAGACAAGCTGGTCTGAGAACAGACCTAACCCTGCATACAGTAGCTCACAGGGCTGAGCAGCTCCAGATGGTTGTCATATCTAACAAGATGGAGAAAATCATTGATCCAGTGCCTACAGTTAGGTCTGCTGCCGCAGGGTCCTGACACAGTGCTATTATAAGATTCCCCAGTTGAAAGCACTTCGAGTGACCTTTCAGAGATTGCCTTTGGGTATCTTAGTCATTTCAGTCACTTACGAATTGAGGAAATTGGAGATAATGTGTGCAAAACACATCCCTTTTGATGTTACAGAAATGGCGTGACAGTGCCTGAATGTCATGTTCCATGTCTTTGTGTAAACATGTCTGGTGGGTTTATTTTAGCAGTCTTGAGTGTTTACCTTTAAGCTGGCATGTGACCGTATCGTTTGCCTTATTCAGCATCGGATGAGAGCTGAGTCTTCAGGAATATCTTTCTTTTACTGGCCTTCATCCCTGCATTGCACCAGTGTATTATCATGCAGTCATTCAATTAGAAGAGAGGGATTGGTGATCATGGCTATCTGAATTTTTGGGAAGTGAATATGTCAAGCTGTCGTAAGGCAAGAGCTTAATTAAGATGCAAATCTTTAAACTATGCAAAAAAATAAAAAAAAATAACCTTGTTGTTTATAAATAGGTGGTACTCAAAGTGAGGAAGCATTGATTTCATGTATATTTAATTCAGGTTGGGTCTAACACATTGCATGTTACTCTAAAACCCAGATTTGTGAGTTGTAAAAGTACTCATGCTGTGAGTCAAAATGTCAATAAGATAACCTTGCTAGGAGTTCCTGTCAAAGCAGTGAAGTGAATACTGGGCATAATTTAGAGAAGAAAAGCCTACAAAGCTACAAAGCTAATGAGCAGCTTTTCTGAACTATGTGTCGCTACGAAGAACCTGTGAAATGTCTGCCCAGTTTTTCTTTTTAACAATGACAGCAATTGGATGATTACATGTAAAGTAGGTGGATTTGCATGAGCAACTTAAGCTTTTTCCCCCCATACTGTTTCAGTATTTCCTTGCTGACCTGGTGCCTGTGATTTTGTGCTGACCATGGATCCATGTTTCTTAACAGGCGCTTGAGTCAGAGACCCACAGCAGAGGAGCTGGAACAGAGGAACATCCTCAAACGTGAGTGTCTTTAACATTGTCTCAAAGCTGCTAAAGTCAATTTACAAGTTGGAACAGTTTGACAAAACTGCCAAAATGCCTCGTCTAACTGTAAATTAAAGCATGACTCCATATTTGCAGCAACCTTTTGTGCATGCAGGCTTCATATAGTGCAGCTTAGTGATTTGAGAGACCTAGTTATGTGAAAGCTAGTGGCATACATCTCTCCCTTTTATTCCTCTTTGGTCTGCCTTTTCATCCGAGGCAGGCAGGCAGGCACCAGGGCTCCCTGAGGAGTCATGTCCAAGGAGACTGGTTTCTTAGCTCAAACACATGCAGTATCAGAGTGAAGCAGTTCTGTTGCCTGGGATTCTGCGGCTCTCACATCAAAGACTGATTTACCAGCAGTTCCAGCTCTTCTGGAGTCTCCTGCATGATTGGCAGAGTGCAGGAGGAGAATACAAAGTTGAAGAATTCACAAGTGACAAGTCATGTCCTCCCCATTGTTCACACACATACACACACACACACACACACATACAGTAGCAAAGTTAAACGAAC